CAACAACAACAACAAAAACCCCACCAAACTGTATGAAGTGAGGTACTAGCAGGAGCTCACACTTGGATCCTAGCTCACTGAGGCTCAAAGTGGAAGGGTTGTGATATGAGATCCGGAAGGGCAGACTTTTTTTTTTTGTTGGTCATGGGGCCTGAACTCTGGGCCTGGGCACTGTCCCTCAGCTCTTCAGCTCAAGGCTAGCGCTCTACCAATTGAGCCACAGTGCCAGTTCCAACTTTTTCTGTTTATGTGGTGCTGAGGAATCGAACCCAGGACCTCATGCATGCAAGGCAAGCACTCTACCACTGAGCCACCTTCCCAGCCCGGCAGACATTCTTTTTTTTTTTTTTAATTCTATATGGGGGGCTGGGGATGTGGCTTGCCTAACATTCATGAGGCCCTCAGATTCCTCAGCACCACATACACAGAAAAAGCCAGAAGTGGTGCTATGACTCAAGTGGTAGAGTGCTAGCCTTGAGCAAAAGCAGCTCAGGGACAGTGCCCAGGCTCTTAAACGTGTGTGTGTGTGTGTGTCCCACACAGACACTTGTGACCGTGTGTGTGTGTCCCACACAGACACTTGTGACCGTGTGTGTGTGTGTGTGTGTCCCACACAGACACTTGTGACCATGCACAGCTTTGAGATTGAGATCTGGGGAGGGAATCTTTTTTTTTTTTTTTGGCCAAGACTGGCCTTGAACTTTGATCTTCCCTATCTTTCCTTTAGAAACTATGGTTTACAAGCATGAACCACAGTGCTGTGCTTACAGGAATTTTTTGTGGGTGGTGGTAGTGGTTGTGGGGCTTAAACTCAGGGCCTGGGCACAATTCCTAGCCTTGAGCAACAATTCCACTTCTAGTTTTTTGTTGGTCATAGGGCTTGAACTCTGGGCCTGGGCACTGACCCTCAGCTCTTCAGCTCAAGGGGAGTGCTCTACCACTTGAGCCACAGTGCTACTTCTAGTTTTTAAGTGATTAACTGGAGATAAAAATGTTATGGGGACTTTTCTGTCCGGGCTGGCTTCCAACCATGATCCTTAGATCTCAGCCTCCTGAGTAGCTAGGCACAGGAATTTTTAAAAAGTGGCACTGGAGTTTGAATGGTCCCCAAACTTGACAGGCTGGCATTATACACGCTGAGCCACCCAATCAGCCGTCTTCTGCCCCAGCATCCCTCCAGCCCTAGTTGGGATGACAGGCACACACACCATGATGCTCAGCTTCTTCCAGGGAGATGGAGTCTGAGGAGCTTTTCTTCCTCAGCTGGTCTGGAACCCAACACCATGATTTTGAGTTCTCGGCCTACCATTAAGCTATGGTAACATGTACTCAGCATTACACCTACATGGGCTAAGAAGGGGGTCTCAAAAACACCTTAAATTAGAGGAAAAAGGGTAAAAAAGTGCAGCAGTGGAGCAGACTGAACTACACTACTTGTGGGTAGAGATGGTAGAGGGAAGGAAAATGAGGAAACAGATTACACCGTACCAACGGAAATGTACTTATTACCTGACTATTGTAACTGTTACCCCTCAGGATATCACCTCTATGATAACAATGAGATAATTTTTTTTAAATACCACCTTTTTCTAGTTGTTGAATGGTAACCTTTTGTACAACTCTTAAAGATAAAAGAAGCATAATTTAGTCCAGACACCAGTGGCTTGTGCCCATAACCCAAATACTCAGGTAGCTGAGATCTGAGGATTTGGTTCAAAGCGAGCCTGGGCAGGAAAAGTTCACGAGATTCTTATCCCCAGTTCACCCATAAAAAGCTGGAAGGGAGCTGTGGCTCGTTAGAGTGCTGGCCTTGAACAAAAAAGTTCAAGCACAAACTAGGCGCCAGTGGCTCACACCTGTAATCCTAGCTTACTCAGGAGGCTGAGATCTGAGGATCTCGGTTCAAAGCCAGCCCAGGCAGGAAAGTCCGTGAGACTCTTATCTCCAATAAACCACTAGAAAACCGGAAGTGGTGCTGTGGCTCAAGGGATAGAGCACTTGCCTTGAGCTGAAGAGTGCAGGGACAGCGCCCAAGCCCAGAGTTCAAGCCCCATGACCGACCAAAAAAAAAAAGTTCAGGCACAGCACCAATGTCCCCAGTTCAAGCCCCAAGACCCACACAAAAAATAAAAACAAAAAACTAATTCATTATAAACATTCCTTAACTTTCCTATTCTGCAAAAAATATGAAAGATGGGTGCTGCTGGGTGCTGGTGGCTCACGCCTCTAATCTTAGCTACTAAGGAGACTGAGATCTGAGGATCGCAGTTCAAAGCCAGCTCCAGAAGGGAAGTCCATGAGACTCTTATCTCCAATGAACCATCAAAAAACTGGAAGTGGCGCTGTGGCTCAAGTGGTAGAACACTAGCCTTGAGCTTGAAGAGCTGAGGGACAGCTGAGGGGCTACAGCGCCCGGGCCCTCAGCTCAAGACCCACAGCCAAAAAAAAAAAAAAAGTTGGTGCTGTGGCTCTTGTCTATAGTCCAAGCTGAGATCGAAGGATCACAGGTTCAAAGGCAGCTCAGGCAGAAAAGTCCCTGTGATGAGACTCTTATCTCCAATTAACCACTCAAAAACCGGAGGTGGCACTGTAGCCCATGAGATAGAACGCTAGCCCTGAGCACAAAGCTCAGGGACAGCACCCAGACTCTGAGGTTCAAGCCCCACAACCGATTTTTTTTAAGAAAGGTATTAAAACATCATTCTATTACTCACGTTATGGATCTCTGACCTATACCTAGTGAGGACAAGAGAATCTTTTGCAGCTAATCTCTTCCAACAGAATGGGCAGGAGACAAGAGGGATGCTCAAGGCCAAACCTGGGAAAATGAGTCCCCAGGAGTTCTCACGAGCACTGACCTTGAGCAGTCCACAGAACAACCAACCAATCAAGGCCTCCACAAATGACAGCCTGCTGCCATCTCGCTCTAGAGACTCAACACAGGGAGAGCATGACAATTTCAGAGGAATAACAAGCTCTTTTCCTCCTCCTCTCCTCCCTCCCTGATTTCTTGTTCTGGCTATGTAGCTAAGTCTGTCCTGAACCTGCTCAGGTAGGAGCATAGTGAATACTGGAAGTACAGGTGTGTGCAACCCTGCTTGGCTTGCCTGGTGGATAGGAATCACCAGGGGACATTCCTCAAGCCTCCCAGGACATTAGAAGATTCGTGGCATTAGAGAACATTGTTCTGTAGAAAAAGATGAACTCGTTTTTGTGCCAACCCTAAAGCACTAAAGTCTATATTTACTACTCTATAACAGAACATAGAAAGACTTTAAAAGTGGGAAGATGTGTTGATATGTCTGCCTAGATGACCTGGTCTCCCTTTATCTTACCCAGGAGCCAGAGGAAGATCTTCAGAGTCAGGGGTCAGTACACGCCTGTAGGCCCTGTAAAGTGTTGCTCCCCCAGCCAATTCTGCACAAGCAATGTGGGAAGCAGCAGCCTCAGCAGCTGTCATGAGGCACATCATCTGATCCACACACATCAGCGAAGAAAAATCTGTTAGGCATTTAAACATCTAGAGAACATAACTGAAAAAAAATAAATAATTGCCTAGAAACATATTTTTCTCACTGGTCTGTGTATAGATATTTTTTTCGGGGAGTGTCTTTTTTGTTTTTTAACTCACTGGGGCTGTAACCTTGCCTTTTTTTGGGGGGGAGGGGATGGGTAGGGTAAGATGAGGTTTGAACTAAGCCTTGCACTTGCCAGACAGGTACTCTGCCACTTGAATCACGTTCCCAGCCTTCTTGTGTTTTTATTTTTTTGTTTTTCTAAATAGTTTTTTGAGATAAGGCTACCTTTAGTCAACTTAGCCTCAAACTTGAGATCTTATTTCTGTAGCTGCTACAATATGTACCATCATTAAATTTTAATGGCGTTGCCAGGCACTGGTGGCTCACACCTGTAATCCTAGCTACTCAGGAGGCTGAGATGTGAGGGTCGTAGTTCAAACCCAGCCCAAGCAGGAACATCTGTGAGACTCGTATCTCCAATTAACCACTAGAAAACCAGAAGTGGTGCTGTGGCTCAAGTGGTAGAGCACTAGCCTTAAACTGAAGAGCTGAGGGACAGCGCCCAGGCCCTGAGTTCAAGACCCATGACTGAAAAAAGAGAGAAAGTGTTTGTTTTGTTTTTTGTGGTCATAGGGCTTGAACTCTGGGCCTGGGCACTATTGCTGTGCTGTTTAGCTCAGGGCGAACGCTCTACCGCTTGAGTCACAGAACTACTTCCAGTTTTCTGGTGGTTAATTGGAGCTAAGAGTCACACAGACTTTTCTACCCAGGCTGGCTTTGAACCGTGATCCTCAGATTCAGCCTCTTCAGTAGCTAGGATGACAGGCGTGAGCCACTGGCACCTGGCCAAGAGAAAGAAAGTTTTAATGGTGTCTTTAATACATTTTTCTAAATTTTATATTTTCTAAAATTAAAATCTAAAAGAGGATTTTTGGAAATAGACTTTCTACTGTTATATACAGGGCAGTGAACTTAAAAAGCAGCAGACCTGCCGGGCTCACGCCTATAATCCTAGCTACTCAGGAGGCTGAGATCTGAGGAATCTTGGTTCAAAGCCAGCTTGGGCAGGAAAATCCTTGAGACTCTTATCTCCTATAAACCACTCAGAAAACCGGAAGTGGCACTGTGGCTCAGAGGTAGAGTGTTAGCCTTGAGCTGAAGAGCTGAGGGACAGTACCAAGCCCAGAGTTCAAGGCCCACGACCGACCAAAAAAAAAAAAAAAAAAGGCAGACCCACTCCAGGAAATGGAAACAAGGTTTTTTTTTTCTTTGTTGCTTTTTTCATTTTGTTTTCTTTTTGTCTTGTCTGTCTTTGGGAGGGTCAGGGGAGGCACAGAAATGGAGGGACAAAGAGTACACAGGCAACACTGGTCACTGGACACTGTGTTGAAAGTGAACTGCACAACTTGTGAGTGGGGATGGGAGAAAAGAACAGGGAGAGAGCGAGGGAAGGGTTGACATGTACTCTTTATAACAAAAAAAATTTTTTTCTTTAAAGCAACAAAACTTTCTACTTCCCTGTTTGGAAATAGTAGGGGAAACACAAAGCACAACTAGCATATTTAAACAGTTATCTCTTCTGCACATGCGGGAGAGTGCTGGCAGCAGGTTACATGTGGAGAACAATACAGAGGAATGGAGCAGCTCCCATTCTACACATGGCTACAGATTACCTACCACCTACCCCAAAAGTTAAAGAGGTTCTCCGGGCCCTGTAGCCAAAAGTATTTACATTCTTTTCTGTTCATTTTAAGGTTTCAAAAGTAACTACTGCGCCAGGCGCCAGTGGCTCAAGCTTGTCATCCTAGCTACTCAGGAGGCTGAGATACCAGGATCACGGTTCAAAGCCAGCCCAGGCATGAAAGCCCGTGAGACTCTTTATCTCCAATAAACCATTAGAAAACCGAAGTGGTGCCCTGGCTCAAGCAGTAGAGCTCTCACCTTGAGCTGAAGAGCTAAGGGACAGCACCCAAGCCCAGAGTTCAAGCCCCACAACCAAAGGAAAAAAAAAAAAAAAAAAACTACCGCAACTATTCAGAGTTGCTGAAATACACCACCTAATATCACGAAGAACAATAACAAAAGTAATGTAATAATTTAACGACTACTTTTGGCATATTAAAAAACAGTATATTTGAAAAACAATACAAAGTTTAAAATAGTAATTTTAATTGTTTAAGAAAAACAAAGAGTAGGGCTGGGAAGGTGACTCAGTGGTAGAGCGCTTGCCTTGCATGCATGAGGCCCTGGGTTCGATTCCTCAGCACCACATAAACAGAAGAAAAAAAAAAAAGCCAGAAGTGGCACTGTGGCTCAAGTGGTAGGGCGCTAGCCTTGAGCTGAAGAGCTGAGGGACAGCGCCCAGGCCCAGAGTTCAGGCCCCACAACCGGAAAAAAAAAAAAAAAAAAAGGAAAGAAAGAAAAAAGAAAAACAAAGAGTAATCAATCACTAGCATTTTTACTTTCAATTATTGGCCATTCCATCCAACCTCCCAATATTGGTAATGCTGCTTGCACTACTATAAAACAAGAAATGAGCATATGTCGAAGAAATCTTACCTACGCTTTTGCTTTTCACTGTCCTTCGTCTCCCGTCTCAGGGAAACCCCAACATCAGGTCTGCTTGCCTGCCTCTGCCCACCAGTACACATCCCAGGTAAGCTCTGCTGTGCTGCGCTTGCATTTTCCAGCCTAAGCCACTAAGACGGGGCCTGCTGAGGTCTCAGGTCTGCTTATGACCCACATTTGCCATTAGCTTTTATCTGGAACTTCAGAGTCGCAAATGCTTTTGGAAGCAATTTAAACAATTCAAAAGCATGCGGCAAGGGATGGAACTCAGAGGCCTTGGACTTGATGCCCATCATGGAGTGGGGACATACATTAAAGTACCATGCCCTCACTTCAGATAACAAGCAGCGCTGTTGTGAGTCAGGTGGTAGAATAGTTCTTTCCTGGGTTCGATTCCTCAGCACCACATAAGCAAAAAGAAAAATATCGGAAGTGGCACTGTGGCTTAAGTGGTAGAGCGCTAGCCTTGAGCTGAAGAGCTGAGGGATAGCGCCCAGGCCCAGAGTTCAGGCCCCACTACCGGACTAAAAAAAAAAAAAAGAAAAAGAAATACTGAACCCTTGCAAGGGAAATGAGAGGTTTTAGGGGATGTGTTTTATTTATTTCTGTAGCTTTGTTTTTGTGGGGTGGCCTGGAGCCTGCAAGGCAGCCCGGCCCTCTATACCTGAATCACACCCTGCCAGGGGGACTTGCAATGAGGAGAGAGGTCAGAAGGAAGGCAAGGAGATTAAACAAATCTGGTAAAGTTCTATAAATGTTGAAACTGAATGATCATATAATATCCTCTTGTTATATTTGAAGATGAGCTTAACAGACTTTTTTTTCAGTGTGAGTCTTGGACTAGGCCCTGGATTTAATTTACATCACGGCGGCCATCTTCTCTGTGTCTATCTCTGTCTCTTTCTCTCTCACACACACACAAAAGAAACCCTGAAGGACTTTAAATGTGGTATTTTAAAAACCGACGAATACCAATTGTATATGTGAAATTACCTTAATTCAGAGTTGCTTCTGGTCTGGTCTCCAACACATGTAAGTTTCTCTGTAACAAACAGAAAAAACTATGTTGGTATTATATTCATGCTGTGAATAAAACATACATTTTGCTACTAAGATGTTAAAGCCAGTGATAGGCCCAGTGTTGGTGGCTCACACCTGTAATCCTCGCTACTCTGGAGGCTGAAAGCTGAGGATGGCAGTTCAAAGACAGCCCAGGCAGCAAAGTCAGTGAGACTTTTATCTCCAATTAACCACCAGAAAACCAGAAGTGGATTTCCTTTTTTTGTTTTAAAACTCTTTATAAAAGTCCCAGAAAAAAAAAAAATCCCTAAGTTGAACGTAAAGGCATGGGAGTAGGAAGAGGAGTTAGAATTCTGCTAGTGAAAATTTAAGACCCTTAAAGTTCACCTGGTCCGGACACTTCCATTTGGTGTCAGTGCAGAGGAGTCCTGAGTCTCTAGAAGCCACCGGCTGTCTATTTTCTGACTCAAGGTACACCTACATAGGACTTTTCTACTCCACACATCTGTCCACCTGCTGTCTTGGCCTTCTATCCTGGGCAGTCTTGAATGGCCAGAGGCTGCAGGGGAGGCCCCTCTGATCCCTCTCAAACCACACCAACCAGAATACAGTTTATTTGGCAACATCTATACTTTCCCAGAAAACAAGATTCAAACATGTAAAGACACTCTCTCCCCAAACTAAACTACGTGAAAGTGTGTCGCCATTTCCTAAATTACTACCTACTTATTTATCAATTCAGGAACTTGGAAGACTATAAACTTTCACACACATGGTTTGGAATCAGCAGAGCTATCAGCAAACTAACCCCTCCTCCACAATTCAGCAGTGAATTCAAGGGCATTCCCATAACAAAGAAGTTTAACTTTGGGATTATACTTCTTATATACAGGAAAGTACATACAATGCTGGTAGTAAAAAGGGAGTATGGCAAGAAAACAACTGGATAGGTTCTTAAAGAATTGAACAAGGGGCTGGGAAGGTGGCTCAGTGGTAGAGCGCTTGCCTTGCATGCATGAGGCCCTGGGTTCAATTCCTCAGCACCACATAAGCAAAAAGAAAAAAGCCGGAAGTGGCGCTGTGGCTCAAGTGGTAGAGCGCTAGCCTTGAGCTGAAGAGCTAAGGGACAGCGCCCAGGCCCAGAGTTCAGGCCCCACGACCAGACCCCCCCCCCAAAAAAAAAATTGAACAAGGAATTACTATGTGATCTAGTATTTCTAGTCCTAGGTACACACATAACAGAACTGCAAATAAGAGCCAAGAATGGAGATGCATGTCTATAATCCTAGAGGCTGAGGCAGAATGGTGGCTTTACAGCTACATGAGACCCTGTCTCAAAAACAAAACAAAACAAAAAAACCTAACACTCTGAAAACAAGAACCCAATAAAAGTGCCTATCATGGTCATAACATTCACATTACTAGCCAGAATGTGGAGACTAAACAAACGCCCAATGACAGGTGACCGAAGAAACACACTGTAGTCTATCCATAAAATAGAATATGATTGCCGGACGCTGGTGGCTCACGCCTGTCATCCTAGCTACTCAGGAGGCTGAGATCTGAGGATTACGCTTCAAAGCCAGCCCAGGCAAGAAAGACCGTGAGACTCTTATCTCCAATAAACCACCAGAAAACCCGAAGTGGTGCTGTGGCTCAAGCAGTAGAGTGCTAGACTTGAATTGAAGAGCTGAGGGACAGCAGCTGAGGGACAGCGCCCAGGCCCAGAGTTCAAGCCCTATGACCGAAAAAAACAAAAGAAAAAAGAATATGACTTGGGCATAGCTGACACACACTAGAGCATGGAGCGTTGCAGACACAAGAAGTGATATACATATTGTATGACCCCATTTTATATGAGGTAGAGGAGAGGTAAGTCCACAGAAGCAAAACAGAGGCTGCCAAGCTGACCACCTTCCCAGTCCTAAAATGGTTTAATTTTATGTGAATTTCAGTTCAGAAAAAGTGGGCGTAGGGGCTGGGAAGGTGGCTCAGTGGTAGAGTGCTTGCCTTGCATTGCATGAGGTCCTGGGTTAGATTCCTCAACACCACATAAGCAGAAAAAGCCAAAAGTGGCGCTGAGGCTCAAGAGGTAGAGCGCTAGCCTTAAGCAAAAGAGCTGAGGTACAGCGCCCAGCCCGGAGTTCAGGTTCAGGCCCCATGACTAAAAAGAAAAAAGTGAGTGTATTGCAGAAGTCAGGGAACACACAGGTTAGTCAGTTATTTTTTTTTTTTTGTAAACATACTGTACAGAGGGGTTTCAATTACATGGGCAAGATAATGAGTACATTTCTTATCAAGCATTGCAGCCTCCTCCTTTGTTTACCCTTCACATCCCTTCCCAGCCTCCCCCTGCCCCCCAGGTTAGTCAGTTATACAAAGTCCCTCCACCTCGTGAAGCCTCACCAAGGAAGGTCCCACCAGGGCACGCTAAACAAGTCAAGTCCCTCTGAAGCAGGGTCTCAATGTGTGGCACCCCTGATTCTAGGTGAGGTCTCTTGTGGTGGAGAGCAGTCCAGCTGCTGTGCTGTCTTCGGGGCTCAGCTGTCTTCTGTCCTCCTAACTACAGCCTTCTCTACCTAGCTACAATTACCACCACGTGTCCCGGGGGGCCAATGCTGGCCCAGGTGAGAATCTTCCTCTAAAATGAGGGCCACAGTTATTCCATGCTCTATAGATTCCTCTAGGTATTTTCATAGTTAAGAGGTGGTAGAGTGCTCGCCTTGAGCTGAAGAGCTGAGGGACAGCGCCCAGGCCCAACGACCGACACACACACACACACACACACACGCACACGCACACGCACACGCACACGCACAGAGAGAGAGAAGAAATCAGCGTGTACTATCTGCAGTGCCCAGATTCTGTGCCTCCCATAACGAAGCACACGGCAGGTGCCCCGTGCGAAACAAGTGTCCACCATGAGCACCGCACCACCTCAGCCTTGTGCCAAGGCTCTCCCACTAGTGGAGCCTGGATTCTCCGGAGAGCTGTCTGGACTCACTGCTGCATAAAAACAAGACCTAACTGTGGGTCTTTCTGACTACCCAGACACAAGATCTACAGATAAGGACCTTACTGAGGTCTTGCAATAAGAAAAATCTAACCTAGAAGTAGAAGAAAATGGAGGAACCCTTGAAGAAAACACAGAACATTTTATAATTAACTACCCCCCTTGCCAGAACAAAAAGTACAGTGGAAAACCTAGAGGTTAAAAGCATGCTGGTTTGAGTCTGCCCATCAGGGTCCTCAGAGAGCCCCGGAAAACGGTGAGAGGACCAGAATTCCAGGCAGGCACCCAGCAAAGGATCCCTTCCAGCAAGGGAGGATCCTCAGAGCTCTGAGAAAGATGGGCTTTTGCCAGCCTGCATGGATGTACAAATGAGCTTCCACTTTATCTTTAGAAAGTAACTCATTAGGGAAATGAGAAGAGATTAATGGAATAAATTTGGGGGGGGTTAAAGACTGAGGGGAGCCAGGCGTCAGTGGCTCACCTGTAATCCTAAACTACACAGAAGGCTACAATCTGAGCATCACCGTTCAAAGGCAGGATGGGCAGCAAAGTCCATGCAATGCTTATCTCCAATAAGTTACCAAAAAGCCAGAAGAGAAGCTGTGGCTCAAGTGGTAGGGCGTTAGCCTTGAGCTAAAACACAACAGCACTCAGGCTCTGAGTTCAAGCCCTACAATTGACCGAGGGGCGGGGGTGGGGGTGGGGGAGTTTACACTACCATTTTGTATTTTGGGGGCAATATTTAAAAGTTAAAACTCAAATCATAGGAAAAAAAATTTTTTTCTTTTTGTGCCACTTCTGAGATACCAGGCAGGCCTGGGGTACATAACAAGACCCTCTCTCAAATCAGGCGCCAGTGGCTTATGCCTATAACCTTAGCTACTCAGAAGGATGAGATCTGAGGATTATGGTTTGAAGCCAGCTTGGGCAGAAAAGCCACGAGACTCTTACCTCCAATTACCACTCAAATACTGGAAGTGGTAGAGAGCTAGCTTTGAGTGCAAAAAGCCTCAGGGACAGCACCCAGGCCCTGAGTTCAAGCCCCACAACCACCACCACCAACAAAAAACAAAAAACCAAACAAACAAAAAAAAACTGCTGGAAGCTGGCAGCTCAGACCTGTAATCCTACTTACATAGTATTATATAAGGTGAGATCTGAGGATCCAGATTCAAAGCTAGTCCAGGAGGGAAAGTCTGTGAGATTCCTACCTCCTATTAACCACCAGAAAACTGTGGAGAGCTGTGGCTCAAAAGTGGTAGAGGGCTGGGAAGGTGGCTCAGTGGTAGAGCGCTTGCCTTGCATGCCTGAGGCCCCGAGTTCGATTCCTCAGCACCACATAAAAAAGCCAAAAGTGGTGCTGTGGCTCATGTGGTAGAGCACTCGCCTTGAGCTGAAGAGCTGAGGGACAGCGCCCAGGCCCAGAGTTCAAGCCCATGACCAAAAAATAAATAAATGAAAAAAAATGTAAAAGCACCAAACAAAACAAGGCAGGTGCCAGTGGACTGTTCGTGTAATCCTAGATAGTAAGGAGGCTGAGACCTGAGGATCGTGGTTCAGAGCCAGCCAGGCAGCAACATCAATACTCTTCAATTAACCACCAAAAAGTTAGAAATGAAATTACAGTTCAAAATGATAGTAATAATCACAGTGGTTGTGTCTTATTGTGTTTTTGCACATGTGCTAAGTGTAGGCCTGACCAGGTGGGGAAACAGGTGAATGGGCTTACTTAGTCCATTTTGGAGAACATTCTTTTTCAGTGGCTTTACTCTGCTTGACTATTTTTCATGTTTTTCCAGTGATGGTTTGACACTTATCTATCAGTTTACTCATGGGGAATTAGAAAATATAATGTTTTTCAACTGGGTGTATGCCTAACTGGATAATTCTGCTGTGTGATATGCAAGCTCCAAATGGATAGATCCACAGATGAATTCTCTTATGCTGCACTTTGAACGCTTCTCACAACACATTAAAAAAGAAAAAAAAAAAAAGAAAGAAATTGCAGTTCAAGAGGTAGAGCACCAGTTTGACAGAAAAA